AACCAGTGCAACCCTTTCATTTTACAGAGAAGGAAAGTGAGGCACAGAAAGCCCGTGGTCATGGAGGGTGTCAGCTGCAGAGCTGGCACACAAGTCCAGGTCTCAACTCCCAATGCAGGGAGCCTCCTCCTATGCCATGTGCCATAGCTTGGGCGATTGTGTGAGTGCCGCCATTCGGCCTCACCATCTCTAGGGTCTCAAGATTAGAGACTGGGCACCACAAGCCAAGGGAGCGCCCAGACTGGGTGCAGCTGTGCCAGCCTCGGCACCACTGCTCCTGGCTGCGGCAGGGAGTGACGCTGAGCTTCTGACCTCGCCCCCTTTCTGCTCACCGCTGGTCTCCTTGGGCAACGCTTGGGCAAATTAGGCAACCCCAAACTAGCCTGTGATCTTTTGCATGTCATGGTTTGTGGGTCCCTTAAGGATTCAGTCATCAGTGCTGGTCCGGAAACTCGCCAGCTGTGTGACTTTGGACTTGGAAGCCAACATCTCCCTGTGCAGCCTTTGACAGGTCACCTCCCCTCTCTGGGCTCTGGTTTCCTCATGTCTAAAATGAGGCTAACAGTCCTTCATCCCACCTACCTCACAGGATATTTGGGAGGGAAATGTTTTGTAGGCTTCAAAGCACCAGAGAAACAACAGCAGTAGCTAGTGCCATGACCTAAATGAGAAGGGGAGAGTAGTTACCAGCTTCCCGCCGTTGTCCACACCTTGATCTTGGATGGGCCTACTGAGTCCTGAGAACCGGAGGGGACTTGCTCACACAGGGCGGGGCAGTCAGTGTCTCCAGCAGCCCTTGGCCCTCGGTGCTCTTGTTGCCCAGCCACCTTCCTGTCTCCTCATTGGCTTCTGATGACCCGCCTTCCAGCCAGCACACTCTCTTCCTTGTCCTTCAGATGGTCCTGGCGGCATTCCCATCTTTGCTTGTCACCTGCTCCAGATTAAAGCCTCTCCTTGCACCTCCCCATGCTTCTTGGGACGTCCCACCTAACCCGCCTTGACATGGTTTGCACTGGTATTCATTGAAGGCTCCTCGAATTGGAATGTCTGGCCCCCTCATTGGGCCTTTGGCTCATCTTGCCAGTAGCTGTGCCACTGATGATGGCCGCATCCTCCTAATGACTCCACGCTCGCTGAGGGCGGGGCCCCTCCCTGTCTTGGACATCTCTATGGGTTCGCCCACAGCTTCACTGCCTCCCAGGTGTGCCAGCTGACTGATGTGATGGAATTAGCCACGGGATTTGGGGATGTTACTTCAGGCGGGGAGGTGTTGGGGGGGTCCTTTCTCAGTGGTTGCCAGCTGCTGTGTGCTTCAGTATGTACCTTAGGTGCTTGGGAAGCAGAAAGCTAGTTAGTCAAGGATATTAAAAGAGGGAGGAGGAGACACAAAGTTGCCTACCCTTGAAAATGTGGCCTTCTAAAGAGGTGAGGTGTGAGCCTCCCCAGGCCTGTAGGAGGCCCTCATGATACCATTTGTTGAAGGCTCCAGGGAAAGCACTTTCACTGAAATGTTTGGGAGTCCGAGATGAGCCTGGCTCTGGGACAGGAAGGACCCCCTCATTGACACATAGGGAAAAAATGAGGACGAATTTCTAAGCCTTTGTAATCTTCACTTGCCTAGTGGGTAAGATGGGAATAAGAGTCATCATGGACTCCACCTCACTGGCTGGCGGTGAGGGAAGAGTTATGGAGGGGACGGCATGCATGTATATGGTGGGGATAGGTGCGTGAATGAGTATATGTTTTGCGCATGCACATGTATGGGTGTTTGTGTGTGTTTGCATATGTTTGGGTGTGTTGTATGTACACATGAGTATGGGTATGTTGTGCGTGGATATGCATGTGTGTGTATGTGTGTGCATATATATGAGTGGGTGTTATGCACGTGTGTGTGTATGGGTATGTGGTGTGCAAGTGTGTGCATTGTGTATGTGTGTGTGTTGTATGTGTGTGTGCATTATGTGGGGGCATGTTGTGCGTGTATTGTGTGTGCATGTGTACGGGTATGTGGTGTGTGTACATTTGCACGTGTGTGTATGGGTATGTATTGTATGTGTGTGGGTGTATGGTGGGGGGGGTGGGGGGGTATATGTTATGTGAGTGGATGTGTGTGCCTGGGCTTGACAAAGAAGACCTGACAGGGGTTCCTTCCCCCGCCCCAGCCCAACAAGCCTCACTGGGGGTGCCCTTTGCCTTGCTAGGCCAAAGCCTCCTCCCTGACTCCCAGCCTGGGGTATTTCTTGGCTTTGACCACCATCTGTCTGTCACATCCTGGGTCTGCTGCCTTTCTGCAATGCAGCCAGGTGATGGGCTGGGCTTAGCAACCGCAGACAGGAGCAGGACCCAGGCATGATCCCTCAGGCTCTGAGCTAGCTGCTTCCCTGCCTCACCCTGGGGCCTCTTAGGAATGCAGCCTCGGTTTACTCACCTGTAAACTGGCCACCAGCCTCCCAGGTACTTGGAGCAGCGCAAAGGGATGTGGGAGTGGGAGGTGCTGAGGCAGGCCTTGCCCTATGTCTAGCAGTGTGGATGAGCTCACCGCCAGGGCAGCTTGATGCTGCCGGCTGGCTTCTAGTTTCCAGTGAGAACCCTGCAACAGGCCGCGTATGCCCTGATGTTTCGCCGTTGGAAACAAGGGCGTAATCAGTGAACAAAGTGTAAAGAATTTGATTGTTTCCCCCTGAGCCAGATCCCTGGCTCTGGCCAACATTCCTGCTGCCTCCTTCCTCATGTAAGGGGGAGCTGCAGCCTGGGAATTAGGCCTCCTGCTTGGTTCCCACCCTCTAACCTGCCCCTGGAGGCCCAGCTGGACACAGGGTGGGTGGGCGGGCGGGCAGCTGGGCCTTGTCCTTCTCACTGGCCCAACAGCACTGATAGCTTTCCCTTCTGCTGGCCCTCCTGCACACCCTCTAATGGGATAGGCAGCTGTGAGTCCTGTGAAGAGGGGGGGAACTTCCTCTGGGAGGTCAAGCTGGCCTTTTTCTTCTTCCCCCTGGTTTTGTAGGGAATACACAAGGCCCATCCAGAGTACCTTCACATACAGGCAGTCCAGGCCTTGGAAATAGCAGAGGATGAATGATCCCAGCTGGGAGTAGCCCAGGGAGCCAGTACCCTCCCTTCTCCTTCTGAGGGCCCCTCCTAGAGCTCTCTCTAGCTCACCAGCAGGCCCAGGAAATCAGTTGTTGCAGGAAAACGTACATTGTCCTACCTCCCCCTGGTCCCACATGGCATACGTGTGCACACGTGCACGCATACACGCACACTCTTACTCACACACACATCCACTTACTCCCATTCCCACCCAGGAGCCCCTGATGGGAGAACTGTGTATCACCCCTCCCTGTAGCCAGAGGCCTCAGGAGGAATAGGAAAGCACCTTGTGCTTGGAGAGAGGCCTGTGCTCTCAGGGAAGTAGATTCCTTAGCCTGAGGGCCACCCCCCCTCATCTGCTCTCCCCCCCTGCCCCAACAGCCCTAACAGGTGGATAGAAATCCAGTCTCCAAGCTGGAAGAGGCCTTCTCCAGCCTCTGGCCTGTCTCACTTTGGGACACCTCGGGCTGGGGCCCACTCTTGCCTCTCTGCTGTTATAGAAGCATGGAGGTCCCCATGAGCCAGCCCTTTCTCCTCTCAAAGGGCCAGGCCCTTTGAGCTCAAACCCAGCCATCCTGTTTATGATCCTAGAGGCAGAGTGCCCAACACAGAATGGTTACTTACGTGTCCGTTGCCTGGTTCTGTGTAACATTGGGTCTGTCTGCTCGGCCACTGTGAGCCCCAGTTTCCTCTCCTGGAACACGTGGCTAATAATCCTTGTCATCCCTTGGCCCAGAGTGACTGTAGAGAATAATGTGGCTCCACTCTGCCAGCCTGGGCACTTGGACTCCGTTTCTGACTCTCTGGCGCCTCAGCTGGGCCTCGTCTATTTCACGGGAATGCATTCAGTATCCTGAGCAGCTCTAGCACCCGGGCCAAAGAGCCCCCTTTGGTCCATAGGCTGAGGAATCCCTGAGGGCCCGAAGCAAGCCTGGGGAGCGCGGTGGCTGTTTCCCAGTTTTCTTGCATCCTCCCCTTGCTTGAGCTGCTAACCCAAGATCCAGGAGGGCTGGGGCCATTCATTGTTCTGAACTGACCTGCCATCTGGGGCATTTGGAGAGAGCACGAGGCTCAAGCACGTTTCATTAGCACGCAGAGCACAGAGGTGCCTGGGAGTCACCTGGGAGGAAGCTGCGCATGAGGAGCTGGGAAGATGAGACATGTGCACACAGACATGGGCATTCACCACCCACAGGAAGCCTTGTTGTTAGTCTAAGTCACAAGGCAGACAGGAGGCCAGAGGGGGACTGGGGAGGCACTCGGGCTGTGCAGAAGTGCTGAGGCAGAGGGGGAGGGGAAGGGCATGGGGGGCAGGGAGGAGCCCACCTGGAGCGAGGCTTTGTCCCATCACCGCAGACCGGGGCAGGAGGAGTTTGGACTTCAAATGCACTTCATGTAAAACTGACAAAATGTCTCATGGGTGCAAGGCTTTGTGCCAGGCTCTAGAAATGCCAAAACAGAAGCAGCGCTTGCCTTCAAGGAGCTTACTGGGACTTGCTATTTAACTGTTCACTGAGGGACCACCAGAGGTGTTAGAGGAAGGAAATTGGGGCAGCACTGACCAAGAAGCAGATGTTTTCCTGTTTTCCTGGGGGTGAGGAGCAGGGGAGTGAGACATTCCGCTGAAGCAAAGCCCTACTGCAAACACAGTGGGGGGAGGGGTAATGACGGAGGCCCGAGGAGGGCTTCTGTTGGGTTACGATCTGTGGCAGTGAAGAGAAGGGGATGGCAGGTCTAGAAAATGGGATGGTGGCTTGCCAGGTGACTGGATCCCAGGTGACTCCATGGTTTCTAGCCTTGAACACTGAGGAAAGGGAAGCAGGAATGAGGGAGCCATGTCACTCACTATGCCATCGTGTCTTGGCCAGCGCTGTTTCAAGCTCACTCTTGTGTCCTCTGTCCCTTTGCAGTTGGCCCTGCTGAATTTCTTCTTTCCTGAAGAAAAGCTCCCTAATGAAGAAGAAAGTAGACATGCTCAGCGCAGCAAGAGGAGCAAAAGCAGTGAAGGAGCAGATGGTAAGCACCACCCCCCTCCCGCCAGCGTGCCCCAGTGGGATTGTTCGCATCCACTTGGGGTGTCCTGAGTGTCCTCAGGCTTCCTTTGCCAAGGCTAGGCTTGTCCCTGGCAACTGGCTGCCATGGGGGCATCTGTGCTCACCACTTGTTTGGGCCACAACCATACTGGGGACCCTGACACGTCACCCAAGGCCACTTGGGACACAGGAGACTGAGCTTTCCAGCATGAGTCACTTGGTCTGAAGTCTATATGTGAGTGGGCTGCAGGAATGTAATCATATAATTAATCATGTCTGTTTGCACAGTAATTACTCACTGACCCAAGACTGCTCCATGACACCTGGAGGCGGCCACGGGTTGGCCAATGTTAATGGTGAGCAGGTGGTTTGGCCCTGCTGGTTCCTTGGTGGCAGCTAATTAAGTGACCAGTGGGCTGCAACTGTCCCACAAGGGCACGTGCAGAGGCCTGTGCTGCCTTGGCAGAGCTGGCACAATGACGTGCCAGCCCCTGGATGGCAGTCAGCTGGAGGGAAGACGCTTATACTTAGCCCTTAGCTCTGGCTACTTCAGTCATCATCTGTCAGGTGATAGGCAGCTCTACCAGTTGGCACACCCGTTAGCAGAAGGGCCCTGCTCAGAGGCTGCTGCAAAGGCAGTGTCTCAGGGTGATGTCGGCCATTTGTCTGCACCTACGGCTCTACTAGGCAACATGACTATCTCAAGTCAAAAAACGAGGGAGATGAGGAGACTGAGATGAAGGAGGGCATGAGCTGCAGAGGAGAGGCCAGGGTTCTGTGGGTAGGGACCAAGAGTGCAGAACTGGCCCAAGTGTCCAGAGGCACTTAGGATGAGGGCCTGGGTGCACCTTTGAATGATGGTCAGGTGACATTTCTAAAGCAGGGGCGGGTGAGGATTGGCTGGGAACAGCCAGACAGTGGCAGTGTTCAACCCTCAAATGGTACATGCACTAAGGGGGGAGTCCCAAGACTTGGGCTCTAGCCTCATCTCTCACCTAATCATTTCTCTCAGTTTCCTGTAAAAAGAGTGGGTTGGACTCTGTGCCCTCAAAGGTCCCTTTGAATGATGGCGTTCTGTGGGTCGTTTTCCAGCCCTCCCCCTCATCTGATGAGGGTCAGAATGATAATCACGATGATAAGAATCACAGCTGACATCTCTCTAGCACTTTGGAGTTGGCCAAGTGCTTTCCTCCATCCTCTTGTCTGATTTGGGCATAGCTCGCGAGGCAGGGCGTATGGCAGTGGCGCCAGAGCTGGGAAGCCACAGCATAGAGAATTCCGCCTGCCTCAGTCGATCCGACTGAGGCAGGCGAAGGTGAAGCTATGCCGAGAGAGAAGCCGTATCGCTGCTGAGTTCTTTGAGATGGTGGCACGAGTGCTTGGCTCTCCAGTATGCAGGTCCAGAGCTGTGTACCTTAGTCGCCTGTGTCTAAGAATAATCCCTTTACTATTAGCAGATAAAAACATGAAACAGACTCCAGGAAAAGCCACCCCCACCAAGCCCAAGGTGCATCCAGCTGCAGGAGGCGAGGAGTGGAGGCACTCCTCCCCGCCTCGTCCAGCTCTCTTCAGTTGGGCCCACTGGCCATTCGTGGCCACTTCCCCTCTTTGGGGGCACCCGACTGTCTCTTGGACATGTTCACCTTAGGAGAGCCATCTGTTTCCATCAGTTTTGAATCTCTGATCATTAAAGTAAAATACAGAAACCTCATTTCAAGAAAGGGTCTGGATTGCTTAAACTCTGAAACTCCAAGACAGTTGAGGAAGCTTATCATCGTTAAGCACCTTCTGTGTGCCAGGCCCTTGTGCCAGGTGCTGGGAGTGAGCTCTCCTGTTGGATCAGAGGAAAGGGCACATGCAGATTAAAAAGTGAGGTGGGGGCGTCACACAGGATGGGAGGCTAGCTAGCCTTTGAAGGAAGCTAGGAATTTACAGAAGATATGGAGTCTAGCCGTGCTGTGTGGCTGCTACAAAGGGACAGAGATGGGAAATGGAATAATGTATGTGAGGACCAATAAAAGGGTCAGTGAAACTGACAGAATGGGGAGTCACGTGTAGTGAGGCTGGGCCTGAAGGCCTTTAAATTCCTAACAAAAGAATGTGAGTTTGATTCTGAAGCTTCTTGAACTAGGGAGCGCCATGGTCGGAAAAAGTGATGGGGACCCCTGAGCTGGAGAGATGGCTGTGTAAGTGAGAGATGTTGGGAAGACGGAAGGGGCAAGATTTAGTGACTGATTTGAGCCGTGGGGTAAGCAAGGAGATGACAGCAAGGTTGCAGGCCTGGGTGACGAGAAGGCTGCTGGTCCCCTCCATTCTGAGAGGGAAGCCAAGAAGGGTGGAAGGCTTGGGGAGGAAGAGGATGGCTTCTCCTTTCATTGTGTCAGATTCCAGTTGGAAGTGGCCAATGGGCTGTTTTTGCCTTGGGCCTGGAGGTTAGGGCTGTAAAGAGGAATCTGGAAATCATCTGCATCAAGATGATCCCCAAATCCACGGGCATTTGAGACCTTCAGGAAAGCTTCCCTGAGGAAGCTCAGCCACCCTCATCATTCCTTCACTTGAGAATTCCCTTTGTTCAGAGAGAATTGGGATTATGGGCTCTCTGCTTGTCCACTTTCCTCATATCCCTTGCTCCCAGAATGCCCCTGTGTGACCTTGGGCTCACCCACTAGGTCCTCAAGGCCTGGGTTCTGGTCTTGTTCTTTAGGATCCCCAGAACACTTGGTGGGGCTGGTGACCTCACGTTTGCTAAATGCAGCAATGAATCGATCCCTAACAAGGCAGGCAGGGATTGGACCGGATGACCTCAGACAGGTACTGAGAGGCAGTGGGATCTGGGGGCCTGGAGGCAACAATGACCCTAAGAAGACAGCACATTGTGAACCAGAAAGCCCACGTTATCTGAACTCAGCTTGGTTTAATGGTGAGTGCAAGTGGTCTCTACCTTGGTGCCTTTGAGTCCTCGGTCCTGAGCACAGGGCCTTGCATGTAGATGACAAGTATTTGTTGAACTGGAAGAAAATTCCATGAGTCACATGCAACTCGTGCCAGAAGAGTTCCAAGGAGCCGTCTTTTACTGGGGAAGAGGCAGAAGCTGGGCAGTGGGAGGGAGTCCAAAGAGCTGAGCTGTGATTGCGTGCCGGTCACTTGTTAGCCATGGATGTCACTCACTCTGGGAGTCTCAGTTTCTCCCTTGGGATGGGATGATTAGACTACGTAGTTTCTGCAGTACTGCGTAGCCCTGACATTCTCCTCTCTTGATCCCTCCTCTCCCCTATCATAGCTACGATTGCAGCCAGCCAAGCCTTAGCCCTTGGATCACTCCCTCCACTCATGTACCATTCTGACTGGCTCCACTGAAGATTTCTGTTACCCAATCTCACCCGGGTCCTCACTGCAGCCAAGAAATCCTTCTTCATCAGGTCTCTCCCCTACTCTCCACAGAGGTTCTTCCAAACCTTTTCATCCCTCCTCAAACCTCCCATAACTCGTCTTTCCTCCTTTCTCTCAGCCAAGAACCTTGCTTTGTGTTTTACAGAAGATAGGGAGGCCGTTTGCCATGAGCTGCCTCTTCTTCCCTCTTCCCCAACTCCTGTCACTCAGGTGCCTCCTGTCACCATCTCCTCCCTCACTCCCTGTCTCATGTTACTTCTTGCCAAGGCTATCCCCATTCCACCCCACTTCCTCCGACAGATCAGCCCCTCTGTCATCCCTGCTGTCTTGCTCATCTTCAATCTCTCCCTGTCTCCTGGCTCCTTCCTGATTGCTGACAAACATCCTGAAAAAAGCCCTCCCTTGACCCTTCCGTTCCCCATTCACTGTTGCCCTCTATCTCTTCTGCCCTTTGTAGCTAAGGTGCCCCAACTTCCTCTTCTCACTCTCTTCTTAACCACTTACAGTCCATCTGCCGACCTCATCATTCCACTGAAACTGCTCTCTTCAAAGAGATCTCTGAGGTGCCAAACCCAGTGGGCTGCTTCTCACTCCTCATTCTCCTGGGCTCCTCTGTGGCCTCCTAGGCCACACTGGGAGTCACTCTTTCCTCCTTGATCCTCTCCTCTCTAGATTTTTGGGACACCATTCTCTTCGGGTTCCTCTGACTGCTCCTTCTCAGTCTCCTTTGCATCCTGGATCCTCCCCCGATCACCTCCTCCAACGGTAGGTGTGGCCCTCAGGGCTCTGTCCTAGGCCTCTTCCCTTCTCCCTCTAGACTGCTTCACTTGGCCATCTCCTCAGCTCCCATGGATCTTATTACCGTCTCTATGCTGAGGATTCTCACATCTACCCATCCTGCCCCCAGGCTCTCTGCTGACCTCCAGTCTCCCATCTCCAACTGCCTCTCAGACATCTTTTCCCCAAACCCTCTCCCCCCTCCTACCTTCCCTATTTCTGTAGAGGGCAACATCATCCTTCTAGGCCCTCACTCTCTCACTCCCCCATCCCCAATATGGTGCCAAGGCCTGTCAATGTCACCTTTCCAACATCTGTTTGCTCTGTTTGCCATTCAAAGCCCTTCGTAGCCTAGCCCCCAACCTCTCATCTTTCCAGTCTTCTTATAGCCTATTGTTCAGTGCAGTACACTGGCCTCCTGGCTGTTCCATAAACAACAAAGTCTGTTGACTTTAGGCATTTTCTCAGCCAATCCCTCATGCCTGGTAGGCTCTCCCTCCTCCACTCTGACTACTGACTACCCTGGCTTCCTTTAAGTCCCAACAAAAATCCCCCCGTTCTACAGGAAGCCTTCCCCAACCCCTCTTAATTCTAGTGTTTCCCCTCTGTTAATTATCTCCTGTTCTAGACATAGTTTGCTTTGTATATATTTGTTTGCATATTGTCTCTCCCACTGGATCGTAAGCTCTTTGTTGAGGGCAGGAACTGTCTTTTTGTCTCTTTTGAATCCCCAGCACTTAGCACAGTGCCTGGCACATAGTAGGTGCTCAATAAATGTTGACTGATTCCATGCAGCCTCCCATCAAAAAGAAATTC